CTGGCAATAAGGGAAATCCAAATTAAGACAACAAGAAGTACCACCTAATGCCAGTAAGAATGGAAAACATACAAAAAAAAAAAAAACTGCAAGCAAGATTTTCTTTTTGGGATGGGGGGAAAAAGAACACTATTCCACCTCTGGTGGGACTGCAGGTGGGTACAGCCTCTATGGAAATCAGTATGGAGAGCACTCAAACATTTCCAAATCTGCATACCATACGATCCAGCAACTGCACTCCTAATAATATATCCAAAACACATGTTACATGAGAAACCAACATGCACCCCTATGCTCATAGCAGCACAATCAATAATTGCAAAAACTTAGAAGCAACCGAAATGTCCTTCAACAGAAGACTGAATAAGAAAGCTGTGGTTGGTTCATTTACTTCATGGAATACTACTGAGCTAATTTACAAAATAAAATTAAGTTCTTTGTGGCCAAATGGGCCTAATTGGAAACCATTATGCCAAGGGAAATGAGCCAATCCCAAAAGGCTAAATACCACATGTTTGCCTTAATTTAAGATGATGTCAATCTGAAAAATAGTACCTGTAAATTGTAATATTATTTCAACCTCAGATAGCCTGTATCAGATGCAATAAGATATTGTGATGTAACCAATGGATCAACAAACAATGTGAGTTATTCTGCTTATGACCCAAATCAAACAATTATAAAACATGTTATAACTTTATGACCCTATGCTACTTGGAAATGGGGTGGGAGGGCAGAGTAGTCTTCTATCTCCTCAGAATATGTGAAGACGTGAAGTGTAACCTATCAGGAACATCAGAAGTAACTCATAGACAGCAGACGTGAATCAGCATTACACAAGAGTAAAACTACAAAGATATATAGGGTAATCATGAGCGATCCTGCCACCCTTTTAACAGGAGGTCATATGCACAGAGCACGGGGGGGGGGGGCAGAGTGGAACAGGAGGACAGGAGGTGGCTTATATCCCCACCGTGGAGACCCCTGGATCCACACCTAGGACTATCAGTATGGGCACCAAGGAATACATTCTAACTGGCAAGGAGAACACTGGGAATTGGAGTGCATTTGGAGGCCGAGAACTCTGAGGTCACCCACCCCCACTTGAATTTACCACATGGGGTGGAAGAAGCCCAAATCCTTCTTTGCAGGATCCAAGTTTATGGGAACGATAACCAGGAGCCCTGAGTGGTCTACAAAAAAAAAAAAAAAAAAAAAAAACAGTAAACTTCCTTTGGGACTAGGGAGAGGAGCTTTCTCTGGTCCTTGCTTAGTTCCAAATTTGGGTCCCCATCCTCTGACATTGAGCATCAGGGATACTGTGGTGCACCCCAAAAAACAAACAAAATTAGAATAGATAGAGAACAACCAGGAAGCTTAGAACCAGACAGGAAACGGTCAGCCTGGACTCACACATACCTTACTAGGTAGGACGCGGAGATTAGATACTCCTCACTGGGGAATGGAAGATTGCTCTACACACTCCTCCTGAATCAGTTCTACACCTCACCTGTTGACATATGCCTTGCCAAAGTTATAAGCCAGTTTGGACTATCCTAAAATCTGCCAAATTCAGTAGATTTATACATCAATGCTAGAGACTGCTAAATACTAAAGTAAGGATAGACACGAAAGAGCTGAATTGTACCCTGCAGCCGTTTTATATGTATAGAAGCTGGTAGTATATAAACTAAAATCGAAATGTCATTGAAGTAGTCACAGGATGTGGTTAAGAACTTGCATTTTGTAACATTTGTTACTCAATACCATGACAATTAATTCCATAATGTTGTAAATTGTTGTTTGTTATGTTGTGGCTCTTAATTGATTGGGATAATATTCTGCCAGCTCTAACGTTGAATGTAGCTGGACAATCAGATGCTGGACTCTTTGCTTGGTATATGATTGCAATGAAAGAATCTCAAGTGAATTTGATTTGTAATACTGCAATAAGGTGGAGAAATCCATAATGGGGGGGAGAGCACAGGGAGGGTTTGGGGGATTCCCAGACGCTATGAAACTGTGTCATATACTGCAATGTAATATTAAAAAAATTGGGGAAAATCACTAAGACGCAGATGTAGGGAAGTTTTTACATAATACCCAAAAAGCACAGGTACTAAAAGCAAAATTAAAAAATCAAATTACTATCAAACTCTGCAATTTCTTTGTAACAAATAAAATGATCAGTCCAGTAGAGACATCAAGCAGAATGTGGGGAAAAGTATTTGCAAATCACCCATCTGGCAAAATATTTCTATTCTGAGTGTATCGGCAACTCAACAAAATGAATAACCAAAAACCATGAATCTTATTAAGAAATAGGTACAGGACTTCAATAGATAGTTCTCAAAGACATGGAGTAGCCCCAAAATACATGAAACCAGCTCTCTCAACATCCCTGGACATCAGGAAAATGCAAATCAAAATCACATTGAGGCATTACCTCACTACTGTCAGAAGGGTTAAAATCCAGAATACAGACTAACAAATGCTGCTGAGCAGGTGCAGAAAGCACAACGCTCACGCCTTCTTGGTGGTGATATCAATAAGTGTAGCCACTGTGGAACACAGTGCAGAGATCTCTTTAAAAACTAGAATAGACTTGCCATATGATCAAGCAATCCTACTGTTGAGTATACACTCAAAAGGCTTGGACGCAGTGTGTCAGAGATACTTGAAATCACCATGTTTGTAACAGCAGGAGAACTCAGCCCTCATCACACTCACAGACATCAGGAACCCATACACCTAAGAAGCTGTCCCATGCTGCCTCCCAGGCTATGCCTTAGCAGGAAGTGGGAATGGAGCTGGAGAGGAACTCCAATGCCAGCCTTCTAAGATAGGATGCACAAGCCCTGGGTGACATCTGAACAGCTCTGCCCAATGCTTCTACAGCACACAGTGGAGGAGTCAGTGTTGTGCAGTCACCTTATCCTCTCTACTGGAACAACAAACTGCAACACCCACTTTTCTCCTGATTAAACTGATCTTTCCTACTGATGAAAAGGTTAGTTTAGTTTAGCTCATTAGTAGCCATATGTACTCTCTGAACATCCAAGGCTGTTTATTCACCATCCTGCTTGTCCTATATATGTTGTCTATAACATTTCTTTTAAGTTTGTTTCATGTGACATTTTCTGGCCAGAAATAGATTTACAAAATGGAAAAAAAAAAAAAAAGAATTTGCCTTTTCCAAACCTGCTCTACAAAGGAAACTAGAAGATGTTCTCTGACAGAGAACAGGAATAGCACCCAACAAAACCAAATGCAAATGTGAAGAGCATCCCAATAAAATGACAACAGAAGACTAAATCACAGAACAATCCATTGTATAATGACAATACTGACCAAATTATCACCCATACATATCAACCCTGAAAGGAATTGTCTTAAGATCAGTCAAACGTCATAGTTTAGTAGACTGGATTAAAAAACAAAATCCATCTATTTGTTGTCTAGAAGAGACACACTTCACCAAGAAAAATCACATGAGATGTTTTTGGTTTGTTTCATCTCTTCTAAGCATTTTTTTTTTTTCTGATTAAATTCTTCAGTGACTCCTAGATCATACAGTAGCATCATTTTCTTCAAGAAGGTTCTTGATTTTCTTTTTCATTTCTTCAGCTACACATTAGTCATTTAGTGGCATGTTACTTAGCTTCATGGTGTTAATTTCTTTTTGCTTCCTGATGTTGAGTTTGTTTTGTGGCTCTTCATTTAATGGGATGTATAGTAGCTGTGTAATGGAGACTGTCATATCTAGTAACATGTTATTTAACTTCATGGCATTGTAAATTTCTATTTTTCTTCCTATTGTTGATTTTGCATTGTGACTTTTCATTTAAGGGGATGTGTAGTAACTATGAAATGGAGACATATCCAGATGTGAGAATACAATGTAGTATGAATCTCTACTTCCAGACAAAGATGGACTTGCAATGAAACTGTTTACTGTATCTGGACAATAGGATGCTGGACTCCGCCATTGTCCATGCCTACAATGATGGATACATCACTGTGTATGAAAAACTATACTTTAGTAATGATATAGAGGAACAAGGTAGGAGGGAGTTGATTTGGGGTAAGGACAGGGGAAATTCCATGAGCCTATGGAACTGTATCATAAAATGGTAATAATAATTAATAAATGAAAGATTATAAAAAGAAAGCAAAGAATGAGGAAAGAGTAAGGTGGGACCACCCTCTGCCATCCCCCTTTTCTACTCTATATAAGCTTGTAAATTAGTCCTAACAAATGGACAAGTGTGCTTTTGATAGTTCTTCAGCCAAATAACACCATCTTCTCACCCCTCAGTGGTCTTCAGGCCAGCTGGTCAGGAAACCCCTGACACTACGATATATATCCCAGAGATATTAAAATTGCTTGGCATCAGAGTCTTACAGTTTATGTATCAGCTGTCACCACTACTGTTCAGATTCAAACTGATTTTGTGCATCATGGTTTTCCACGGTAAGTTTCTTGCCATTGACTGATCTACTCCAATAAATGTCAGCCTGTGTCTGACGTTTGAAGTGTAAGAGTGAGTGAACACCAGGGCCAGCACTACAGTGGTGTAGTAGGTAGGCTGTCTGAGGTGTTGGCATTTCCAGATGGACACCACTGGTTCACATCCTAGCACATCCTCTTCTGGTCTTGCTAATGACTTCTGGCTTCACATCAGCTCAACTATTGCAATTCAGCAATTGAGTGTAAAGCAATGGTTCATGCCTACACCAGTGAATACAGTTGGATGGCCCAGCTAGGCTCTTCCCCTAACTCAGGTCACATGTAGATCTCAAGGTGTTGTAGCATCGCCTAGATTGGTTTGACCCTGTTTCAAGTTCTCTCACTCACCAGTGGGAGCAGCAGCTCAGTGGGGGATCAACCAAGAAGTCTCCCCCACACCAGGGCTTGCATCATCTAAACACCCACATCTCACACATGTTTTTTAAAGGTTTATTTTATTTTATTGGAAAGGCAGATATACAGAAAGGAGAGACAGAGAGGATGATCTTCCATCCAAAGATTCACTCCCCAATTGAGCGCAACAGCTGATGGTATGCCGATCCAAAGCCAGGAGCCTCTTGCGGGTCTCCCACACGGGTGCAGGGTCCCAAAGCTTTGGGCCATCCTCCACTGCTTTCCTGGGCCACAGGCAGGGAGCTGGATGGGAAGGGGGGCTGCTGGGATTAGAACCGGCCCCCATATGGGATCCCGGGCGTGCAAGGCGAGGACCTTAACCACTGCTCCATCATGCTGGGCTCAATTTCACACATGTTATTGGGTGTTGCAGCCCAGTCTGGTATGACATGCCTCAACTCAGCATTTTCTAGCAGATGTTGTAGCCTATTCCGGCCCAATCTGCCCAATGCTCAGACTCTTGCTGATGGGTGCCACTGCCTGTCAATCGCTGCCCAACTAGGCCCCCAATCCCAGGTCTAATGTGGATTGCGTAGTGATAGGAGTTTGTGTGGACCTACCCTAACCCATTTCCCGTTCACTCATCCTCCTATAGATGCGATGAAATGATCCAGAATGGCCTGAGCCTAGATCTTCCCCACATGTATACCAGGTTATGGTTTGCACAAAATCTGGCACTGAGAGATGTTCTGAAGAAGGAGCCTGGGCAACCCCTCTGGCAGGACAAAGACACAGAAGGTAAGTGCAAGAAGCATGCATGAGCCAGAATAAGTATAGGCTGTTTGGGCTTCACCTGAGCATCAGCTGGCACATTTTCGGCAGTTCCTGTTAGTCAAGACTGCACAACCACTTGATGAATTCAAGATCTGTGGCTGGAAATGGGCACATATGGAAGTGGTGGGTACCTCTCAAATGGGCTGCAATATACACTGGTGAGAACATCAGTGCTGGGGTGGGCCAGCTAGACAGGCATGACTGGGTAAACAAGCATGAGTGTGAGTTGGATAGCAGAGTCTATTCAGTTGAATCATGTTCCAACACCCATATCCGTGTATGAGAGCTGAATGAGATGTGTGGTAGACTGGATTATGCTGCACATGCTGGCCTGGTGAAGACCCAGGCATGGAAGCCTTACAGAGGTTATTGGGTGTCATCCTGACTAGGCTGTAAGTCCTCCTGGTGATGCTAAGGCTGAGTGTGCTGTGGGCAATGTTGGGGTAAGCCACAAGAGCCATTGCTTTACATAAGAGCCAGGTTTGAAATACAACTAACCCAGAGAAGGGGTTAAGATGGCCGTCCGAGGAGGGTAGGCGTAGAGGAGGATGTGGTAAAAGAGGGACAGGATACACTTAAAGGAAGTGTGGCAGAACAGAAAACTGCAGAAAAAAAAGTGCTTGAAGCTTTCCTGAACACCCAGCAACTAAGAGGAATCATGGAATTTGGAAGGAATCCGGAGAGAGAAAGCAGGGAACACTGAAACCCACTCCAAACGTGGTGAGTCGCCACAAGCAGGGGAAGCGCAAGCGGGAAGCCCAGCTGACCCAGAGGAGACTGGAAAAAAAACTGGGCAGTCTGCCTTGCCTGAATGTCCCCACCCGCGATAGCAACTGTCTGCAGGAGGGAAAGAGACTACAGTGGAGTGTGAACTAGAAGCTCGCTCCTGAGCCAGTGCCACTCGGAACCCCACTCCACTCCCACCCCTTCCCCACCCCAACAACCCAAGCGGGGAGTCTGCCTCAGGCATAAGGCGGGACCCGCCTTGGAAGTATCTTTGCAACAGTGCTGGCAATCCAGAGACTTTCAGGACCACAGAAAGGCAGGGACAGCTAGGGTAAAGGGCCCAGCAGTTCCTGCCCGCTGGGAGAGGCACAGGAGGCCAGACTCTGCTCCCGCCCTCTCCCACTCCAGCAACCTGAGTGGCAGGTCTGCCTCAGCCACCAGGCTCTGCAGGCACTGGGAGGGACCTGCCTTGGAAGCATTTTTTACAATAGGGCTGACAAATCAGGACCACAGCAAGGCAGGGACAGCTAGGATAAAGGGCCAGGAGGACCCTGCTCACTGGGAGAGACACAGGGAGCCGGATTCTGCCTGTGCCCCTCCCCCTGGTGGGATTTCCAACACGGGAATCTGCTCCAGGCTCATGCTCCACCCCCGCAAACCAATTTCTCCAAAACTGAAACGGTGTGAGAGTCGGACACTCCAATTAGCATAGGGGCTGGGCAGAACCCTCCTACAGTCCCCTCAGCTGCACGGCGCCTGGGGTGCGGCTTGGCTCAGGCTCTCAGCAAGATAGCACCTGGAAGCCCTTCAGTGCTGCAACACCTGGGTTTTGCACCAGGTCAAGGCAAGCACTGCCCCGCACCTGCACGTCCTGAGGTGCTACAGGCAGGTGGGGCGCAATAGTAGGAACACCCTTGGAGGCTCCTCAGCACACTGGCATCTGGACTTTGCGTCAGGGTGAGGAAGTGCAGAACTGCACCTGAAACCTGCTAAGGAGTACTGGCACCTGAAGTACCCTTTACCACAGGGGACAAGCGGACCATCACAGGAACCTCTTGGAGGTGCTGACGTGTGCAACGGGTAAACACCCAGGACACAGACAACCACAGGTGCTGTGTGGAGCACCTTGAAATAGCAGCACCACTAGCATCAGCTACGTGCAGCCACCCAAGACTCCAGCAAGCAGAGGGGCGCGGAGGTGTGCAGCTAAATCCATCACGAAGCCAAATAACAGTAGCAGATTCACACCTACTCCAGACTACTGCACCGAGACCAGAAACTGTGAATAAACAAATCAGAGAATAAATCCCCCAAATCAACAGAAAACAATAGCACAATGAGAAAAAGCATCAGAAAAAGTAATGATCCAGTGACAGAACCAGGTCCCCACCAAAAAAAGACAAAAAGGCAATATCTATATCAGAGATGAAAGATGAAGACATGGAAGTTCCACCAGACAAGGAATTTAAAAAAATAATGATAAAACTCGGAAGAGACAATGAGAAGAACTGGGAAGACTTCAAGGAATTCAAGAACTACATAGCCACAGAATTACAACAAGTCAAAAGCAAAATCCTGGACTTAGAACACAAAGTGGAGAGTCTAACCAACAGAATAAATACAGCAGATGAGAGAATCTCGGAAACTGAAGATACGCAGAATGAAAGCACCCAGCTCATTAAACAGCTGGAGGCAAGTCTGAACAAATCCAACAAGATAATACAGGAAATGAAAAACAACCTAAGAAAATCTAATATCAGAATTATGGGGCTTCCTCAAGGAGCAGAAAGAGAGTCAGGAATGCAAACGGTACTCAATGAAATTATACAGGAAAACTTCCAAAACACGTGGAACATGAATCCAGCCCACATACAGGATGGACAGAGAACTCCCAACAGACATGATCCAAAGAGATCTTCACCCACACACATGGTGCTCAAGTTCTACTCCAACGAAGACAAAGAAAGAATCCTGAGACAAGTATGACGCAGAGAAAAGATCACATACAGGGGAAAACCAATCAGAATCACTGCTGACTTCTCCAAAGAGTCCCTACAAGCAAGGAGAGAATGGACAAAGATCTTCCAAGTCCTGAAACAAAACAACTGTCAACCAAGAATAATGTACCCAGCAAAGATCTCATTTGTATATGAAAACGAAATTAGATACTTCCATAGCAAAGAAAAACTAGCAGAATATATCAGCACAAAACCAGCTCTGCAAAATCTTCTTAGAAATGTGCTAATCCCGGAAAAAAAGGAGGCAAACCACAAACAAAGTTGGCAAACAGGAAGGTCTCCAAACTAAAGCCCACACAAAGAAGGGCAATTACACAGATAACAACATACACAAAACACAATCGCATGGCAGGGAAAAATCGCAACCTCTCAATTTTAGCTCTCAACACAAATGGTCTAAATTCACCACTCAAAAGACAGAGATTAATGGAATGGATCATCAAACAAGACCCAACTATCTGTTGCCTACAAGAAACACATCTGACCAGAAAAGATGCAAAGAAACTGAAAGTGAAGGGATGCAAAAAGGTATTTCGTGCCAAAGGAAGAGAAAAAAAAAAGCTGGGGTAGCTGTCCTAATTTCAGACGAGATAGACTTCAATCTAACTAACATCAAAAGAGACAGGGAAGGCCATTTTATACTGGTGAAAGGAATGATCCATCAAGAAGCAATCACCATCGTTAATGTTTATGCACCAAATTCCAACGCACCTAGTTACATGAAGCAATTACTTACAGACTTAAGGGGAGACATAGATACACATACGATATTCGTAGGTGACCTCAACACACCTTTAACATCAATGGACCGGTCTACAAAACAAAAACTCAACAAAGAAACAACAGAGCTCACACAAACAATAGAACAACTGGACTTAGTAGACATATATAAACTTTTTATCCTAAGGCCACAGACTATATATTCTTCTCAGCAGTGCACGGCACCTTCTCCAGAATCAACCATATGATAGGAAACAAAGCAAATCTAAATAACTTCCAAAAGATTAGAATGATACCATGTACCCTCTCAGACCACCATGGAATGAAACTGGAAATCAACAACTCAAAACTCCCCAGGAAATATAGTCACTCTTGGAAGTTGAACAATATGCTATTAAACGAACAATGGGTCAGAGAAGAAATTAAAGATGAGATCAAAAAATTTATGGAAACCAATGAAAACTCTGAGACAACATTCCAAAACTTGTGGGACACTGCCAAAGCAGTGCTACGAGGTAAACTCATTGCATTCGGAGCCCATGTCAAGGCCCAAGAAAGATGCCAAGTACAGGAACTAAGCACACACCTCCAGGAACTGGAAAAACAGCAGTAGAAAAGTCCCACTCACAATAGGAAACAAGAAATCATCAAAGCAAGGGAGGAGATAAACCAAATAGAAATAAAAAAAAAACTATACTTAAAATCAGCAAATCAAAAAGTCGGTTTTTTGAGAAAATGAACAAAATAGACACTCCACTGGCCCGACTGACCAAAAAACAACAAGAGAAAGCGAGAATCAATAGCATTAAAGATGAAAAAGGCAACATAACAACAGACACTGCAACCATTAAGAAAATAATTAGAAATTACTACAAAGAACTGTGCTCCAATAAATTTGAGGACCATCAAGAAATAGAAAAGTTCTTGGACTCTCACCACTTACCAAAACTCAGTCCGGAGGCAACTGAAGAATTAAATAAACCCATAACCGAGGTAGAGATTGAAACAGTCATCAAGGATCTCCCAACGAAAAAAAGCCCAGGCCCAGATGGCTTCACCACAGAATTCTACAAAACATTCTGAACAGAACTAACCCCAATCCTCTACAAGCTCTTCAAAACAATAGAGAAGGAAGCAACCCTTCCAAACTCATTCTATGAAGCCAACATCACCTTAATCCCAAAACCGGACAGAGAACCGTCAGAGAAGGAAAACTACAGACCTATTTCTCTGATGAACATTGATGCTAAAATTCTCAACAAAATCCTAGCCAATAGAATTCAAAAAATCATCAGACAGATCATTCATCCGGATCAAGTAGGATTCATCCCTGGAATGCAGGGATGGTTCAACATTCGGAAATCCATAAATGTTATAAACCACATCCAAAAATTGCAAAACAAGAACCACATAATAGTTTCAATAGATGCAGAAAAAGCTTTCGACAAAATCCAACACCTCTTCATGCTAAAAACTCTAGCCAAAGTAGGCATAGATGGG